AAGAATGTAAGATTAAGATACATGTGCAGTGCAAGTGAAGCAATATATACGGAATGAATATAATGAATAAAGTAACGAAATGAAAATACGAGACGATACTGTACAAACGCACAACGTCAGAGCGTCATACAACAGAACGAGAGAACTAACGTATACGCATTAGTAACCAACGTAAGACATACGTATTACGTTACAAACGTTACAGAAATACATTTGTGTTAGTGTGCAGCTGGACTCTTTAATTGAATAGAATAGCCTTAGTTTAGTTGTCGTTATCAAGCAACTATACCGGAATATATATATATATATATATATACATATATAGAAACCAAATACATTATATACAGAAATATTCTGATCCGAAACAGGATAGGGGAATCAATCAAATAAATTTTTAAATTCATTTAATTTAATTTTGTGGATGGAAGTTTGGTATATGGGTTGAATTAAATCAAACAATACCACCAACAATAAACACAGAAAAAGAGGATTTTAGGTTGATACATTTTGCAAGTCTAGAAGTATTATACGCATAACAGTATCAAAAAATTTTTTGCTCATTTTTAATTTGATTGGATGGAGATATACATAAATTTGATAGTAAGTTCACGGAACAAGCATTGGAATAAGAATTTAGCAGTAACGTCAAGCACAACAATATAAAATTGATCTTACAGCAGTACTAATTATATATATATGAATCTAAATTACAGATGAACTATTTGATAAATTTTGTCAAGATACTTTAAATAAACTACAATTATCCAGCAACTTTATCTTTTCGTTCAATGTGTGACGCACAAGGTTTGGTATAAAAATTGTCAAATTAGTTTATCTATTTTATAATTGCACAGTGAAAGTTATACTCATCCCACATTATATTATTAGAGGTACCCAGTGGTGGGATTCAGCCGGTTCGCACCGGTTCTATAGAACCGTCTCACGAAATTTTATGAGATCAACGTACCGGTTAGCTTTACTGGTTACTGTCAATGTTCTTTTTGTAACAGAACCGATTGGAAAATATGACTTTTGTGATGGAACCGACTGACAAAAAAATATGAATCCCACCACTAGAGGTACCCCTGTGTCGACCGCATTCTCAGCACTGAGCACGTTGCGCCACGCCACCGAGCAGATTTGTGATAACTTCGCGCTCAATTTTCTTCATATGATTTTATCTTGTGCGTAGTCATTTTTGTTTTGTGCCTTAGCGATAAATAAATTATCTATCTTATATTTTGACTGATTAGCTTCTTCCTTGCTTCCTTGCTTCTTTAGTCCATAGCCTACTCCCAGGATAAATACGCATGTTCTGCATTGCAAATGAGTAGCCTACTCAGTCCAAATTTCATTTGGACCAGGAACAAGACGGATAAGTGGTTGTCGGATGTGAAAAATGAATAGCCACTTGTTAAAACTCTCTTTAACAAGCTATTTCTCTCGAAGTCTTAATTTCTAGTATATACATGTGTTTCAATTGCAATCTTTCGTATTCCATATGTGCCCGATGGCATAATCGAGTGGTTAAAGTGTTGGAGTTAACTATATTAGCAGCACAGGTTAAAAACCCAGAATGCACAACCTATGCTAACATCATTACAGTGGCGGCGCGTGGTAATTTTGACAACCGGGGCAAGCTACTTCGGGACCAAGTCACCCCCATCTACGGGGACAGGATGAGCGCTGTAAGTTCTCCCATCATTTTATGAGTATAAAAACCATTCCATCGGTAACAACCAATCGGCGAAAGCGACAATTTTTAACGATAAAAAAGTGTCTTTAAAACCGGTCCAAGTCAAGGGATTAATAAATATAGACATAGTTTATTTTGAAACCTCTTTCAAAAGGAAAGGCAATATTTACCCAGATAAATACAATGACATATTAACAGAAACTTCGGGAAAGCAGACAAAACTTAAAATAAGGTTTAAAACGTTACTATGAAGAAAGGAAAGTTAATGCAAAGATAAGGACATGCGTCGCTCACTCATAGATATTTATGCTGCTAGACTTCTACTGCTTGAACATATATGCAACACGCCGCGGTTTCTTGGAAGCAAAATGCTCAATAACGCGCTGATTAAAGTCATGCATCCCAGAAATAACGTCTCTGTGAATGGATAAAACAGCCAAAGAATTTAATCTATCTTGCTTCATTGTGCTTCTGAGATACGTTTTAATACGCTTCAGCGTGCTGAATGTTCGCTCTGCGTCGGCGGAAGAAATAGGCGTCGTCAAAATGATGTCCAGAAATTTTGCAGACGCCGCAAAGGTAGTTACTAGAGTGTTATCTATGAGGAACCCATAGAGCGCGCAAGTTGATGTGATGTTCAAAAAAGTTTGATTGGTGTATATACATCGCAATTCATTTTCCAATTTACCCACGTTTATCATGGGTTAAATTTGGAGACAGTAGCCAACAAATGGATGGGAAATTGACGTGCAAATTTTGAAAAAATTTTGGGGTTTATCAAAGAGAACGCGGCAAGGTGTTCAGTGCGCAGACGATCGCCTATTCGATTCACCAGAATGCCACAGCATTTGCAGACAAAATCAAACGCTGCGTTGTTTGCCCGCGGCGTAAAGAAGCACTCCATGTGTCGTCGTATTTTATTGTTTCCCGGATACGAGATACAGCATCGCAGAAGTCTGAAATACACGACTGCACAGACGCTCCATCCATTAGCCTTGTCTGCAATGCGCCGTATAATACATCCACGTGATAGAATATTGTGGAAAAAAAAGCGGGAAAAAATGAAAACTCACCATCTTCTAGCAGACGCTTTAGACCTGCCGCCTCCATCACAGAGCGTTCGTCCCTAACCGGAAAGCTCTGAATGCCATTGAAACACTCAATGAGCTCAGACCTAATTTTGGACACGCCCTGCACCACGCGTGATTGAAAGTTCCAACGTGTTGGTGCACAAGCTGGGAGACGGCGGCTACATATCTGGCGAAGGAGGTCAGAGCGCTTCGGCGAAACGGAAAAAAATGAAGAAAACCCCGAAACATTTGCAAAAAATATACGGACGAGAGGGGTATCAAGACACATATTTTTAATAACGAGGTTAAATTGGTGTGCATAACAATGTAAAAAATGCTTTGAGCTATCAATTTTGACTTCGCGTTGTAAGGCTGTAACACTTCTTTCAGTACAGCCGATATCCCGCAAGCCGTGCGATCAACGATTGGTACAAAGCTGTGAAATCTCTCAGTAGGTTTACCATCTTTCACAAACCGAAAAATCACAGCCAGTTGGGAAACGCACGTGATGTCAGTTGTCTCGTCAGACTGAATCGAAAGGAACTGGCAATTCTCAATTTCCAGAGCCAAATGTTGTAAATAAATTAAATCATTTTGGATATCTTTAGATGTCCCTTTCAAAACAGTTGCGGCATCAAGATGATCTCTCAATACTGTATCTAGGGATGCGGTGTATTCCACCATATCCAAAATACCCCTCTATTAGAAGAGCCAGCCCGTTCATCGTGCCCACGGAGGGACAGCTCGTGACAACCAATGAACTTCAAAACATCTATCAATCGACCGAGAACATGGCGGTTTTTCTCGACGTTTTGGTTGTGCCGACGAATAGAAACCGCGCGTCCTTCATCCAACTGTGCTGCAATATTAACATTTCCGAATGTTCGGTATTTTACTGCATTATCCAGATGCTCCATAGAAGATTGATGATCCCTGGCACGCTCGGAAAGATGTTTAAGATCTCTAAAACCAAATTTACACCAACGTGAGTCACGGGCGGTAGCAAAAAGTAGGTAATAAAAACAAAAAAGTGCATTTTTGTCCTCGCTGTAACACAACCATTCGTGTATTTTATACCAAGTTTCTGCCCAGAATGTACGCCGACGCTTTCCTCCGTCATGAGATTGTTCCAGTGAACAATTTTTTGGTTGATAAGGCCCAAGACGTTGTACCTCTAATTTTTGTTCCAGCGGCAGCTGCGAAAACGGAGTGCGAAGTAGTGCATCAACCTTATTCATTATGAGGTCTAAGGCTAAGAAATGCGAAGCCGGAAAGAAGTGAGGAGCTCAAAAGGAATGTGGAAAATTGAAAGCAAATGGACTAAAGGTCTCTAACTGATTCAAATAGCGAAACAAGCGACAAAAACGAAGGCGAGGAAACTATCAACTCTTCAAGCAACCAACGAACGAGAAGGAATGCGTTAATATGTCAACACGTTGTTGTAAGAAACGTCGGCATTGTGTCGTCATAATTTCGGGGCTAGCCCCGATCGGCCCCGATGATTTAGTAAAAGAAACAGAAAACAAACGAGACAAACGCGGCGAGTGGAAGATAAAAGAGAGAATACGATATACAATGAGCAACCGGGGCAAAATCGGCGTCGCCCCGTCGACGTTCGGCGAAGGCTTTGCGAGCGAAAAATGAACCATGTCGGGAGAATATGGCTAGTGTAGACAGTCTGTGCAACCGATATTGAAGTATTTTTCGAATATTTTTTATTATACCGAAAAAACAACCGGGGCATTGCCCCGGTTGGCCCTATTGACGCGCCGCCACTGTCATTACCAATGGTGTAATCAATTGAGTAAGCAACGTCGAACCTTCAATTCGAAAAGGCGGGAAAGGCGTACTTTACTAAAATGTACTCTTTTGTCTCATCATTATTTTCTGACTGCGAGAAATAACTAATTAGGCTCCAGCTCTGTGTATCGATCAAGTCAAAATTACGCAATTATTGTCGCTTGATATTAGCAATTGTACAACTATAGATAGTTTTGACAAATTCTTGCTATTGTTGTTCTTTTCACAGCGAGAACAGCTTATTTCGGCGCGCTTGTCCGCCGATATTTTCAGCAAGGTCGGGGCTCAGGGACATCTACCGATACCGATTCATATTTCTCATTTTATTTTATTGATGCTACTCCTAGAGTTCTAGTACTAAATCCACCTCCCCCCACAAAAAGTTGTTTAAAATCATTCGAAATCGCTATTGCAACATCGAACAAACACACGCGTTGGCGATTTTGATTATGCTATTGTATATTTATATCAATAGGAGAGAAAAAAAGTGAAAAGAGAAGGATTTTCTTCCAAACACGCTCATACATTGAATGATAATAAAAAGAAATTTTTACTGAGCAGCATAATGTACCAAAAATGAAAGCATAAAATGTCTTTTTTTTAAATGAAAGGTAGTATTGTAAATAGAAAGTGAAAAAGAACTGACAATAGATCCACAAGCGTAAACATCATTTGGCACATATAGAACATTAATTTTTAGTATGTTAATAATTGTTCGCGAACTTTTTACTTACTTTGCTTTGACTCCAGTTCTATTTAAGCGTCAATTTGATATCAACAATAAAAATCTTGATTTACAATAATGAAGTGATTATCGTTGGTATACATAGCATTGCATAAAATATTAAAAGGTATCCGAATTTTCAAACGTAGGCTTCTCCCATCATTGTTGTATCTCCTGTTCCCCCATTGTGAACTGATATATGGGACGATTCTTGTGAAACTGGGTCGTCATAACTCGGTTGAAAAACACTCTGTTAAATTGGCCAACAATGAAAGCATATGTTATCATTGAGCGAGCAAATGTATGAATAGAGAGTTCGTTAAAGCAGAATGACTTCAAAGCAGAGATCAAAGTATTACATCTGCCGTTACAAATACTATATACAAATATTCAAAAACACAGCACAAAAATGATTAGCAACGATGATGTACTATTGAATTGAGAAATCTCAAACAACCTGTATCAACTCAATTGAAATTTATCCCGCTAAGGTCATACATAGTTATATCATAAACGTAGTTTATGGCTAGATGTATCTAAACATATTCACTGGGAAGCGAATACTTTAGTTTATTTGTGTATATATAAACTGTTCGTCAAAAAAACATTTTGTTAAAAATCTAAAGCAGAATGCTAAACTGCCATTAAGCTCCAACCTCATCACTTAGCAATCCATAATTTCTTCTTTTACGTCGGAAATACCAGACACCTACAACCAAGACCAGGATAACAATAATGATAACGATAACTGCCGCTGATGCTCCACCACTACCGCCGCCACTAGAGGGAGATGCGGGTTTTGTGAACGACTGTGATTTGATTTTAAGCGAGAAGCAATGTGGTGTGCTGTGAGGTGAGCCAGATGGAGTATGTTGGAGATCGTCGCCTACTGTGTCGAGACAACAATATGTACCTCCGTCGTGCTTTGCTGTACCTGAATTATTAATAAGTGTAAATATCGTATAAATTGAATGAACACTGATGGTTAATAATGGAGTCTAATCTACTCCAACACCATCTGACACCAATTTAATTCTAGAAACAAAAAAGTCAGAAATCTTATTAGCAGAGACACTTTTACGTTGTGATCTGATTGATCTATAATAATTCTCCGTGCTCACGGAGAAAATATATTTAAAAACTATATCTATGCCACACTGCCATGTAGGCTACTAAATTTATTGAAGCATATTCCATTAAGACTTTTGGCATTGACGAATGCAGTATTGATACCAAAGCTACACAAAAGTAATCCTGTATCTGAGGCATATAGATGCAAATGAACTTCACTTGATCAGACATTGCTTTATTCAAGCCACACCGATATATATTATATATATCATGAATTTACACTATGATGGAACGATTCTCCTGATATATATATTCATGATTCAAGCAAGTTTATTATATACTGTGTGTTATACAGGTTCATAAAATGCTTTAAATTTCAAAATACATTGTACCTATGTTCATAGTAAGAATGACATATAGAAACATACCGGTTATAGTAAGCACTCCAGGAGCTATTTTTATTTTCTCGTCTTGCTTGATTGGAACAAAGGAACCATTCTTTGATTTAGACGAATATTTCCACGACGTTGAGAGTTTATCCGGGCACTCAAGCGAAATAGTTGCAGCTGGAAAGAGGAAGAAAAATAATACAAAATCGTTAATAAACAAAGCGATCTAGTTTGGGTATAATATTGGCGATGATCAGGTTTAACTAATAGTGAGATGATCTTGACTCCTGACTCTGAGGAGCAATGGGATTTAGTTTTTGTATATTGGGAGCACAGGTCAGCTAATCTCATAACTATATATATATATATATATATACCTACCCAACTCAACATCCGGACGAGATGATGAAACCCGGCATATGAATATCGGCTTTTCTTTCGCCCGAGATAAATATGAAAAACGTTATCTTTGGATTATACTTACTAATATTACGCTTAAAATTTTCTTTTTTATTCTAATTATCTTTTATTTTATGACGTGTGAGAACACTTTATTCCATCTCACTCATCCGTCGATCTTTTCAACAACTTCGGCTCGCAGCTAAGCCCTTACCGCTGCGCGAATTTCGTGTCCATGTATTGAACCATTTAGTTAGATCATGTTTTGTTGTATTATTTTACTCACCTAATCCGACTGTCTTGACAGGCATTTTTGGCGCGTTCGATGCAATCACTATAATTTTATTTGTAGCACAAAGAGTCTTTGAATGAATGTTTTTCAATGATGTGTTTGTTTTGCTGAAATAAAGGTATATATATCTTTCAGACAATTAGTTATCAGAGCGTTGTTGCATGGTTTTTATTGGGGGTTTCATTGCATTGCTCCGAATTAAAACTGGAGACTGGGATACTGATGTCCATGTTTTTTTATGATATAAGACGCATAGGCATAACTTTTTGAGAGCCTTTATTTAATGGGATATTGGAATTTCGTGAAGATATTTTAAATATAATTTTAGCATCACTTAAAAATTTATTTTCAATCAAATGCGGTCACTAGTCTATATACAACAATAATGTAACCATTTTTACCTGCAAGTTATGTCAACCGCTCCACTAAACTTCTTGTGTGCTGCAGATGTCCAGTTTTTGTATCCGCACATTTTTGAATCACATACCCAAGGATTGTGTCCGAGTGATAAATGTGTGAGTGTTTTTGTGATTGGAGTGAACCACGATGCGTATGCAGTGACCAGACTATTATGCTAAAGGAATGAAGTTGTGCAATCAGTGAAAAATCATTTGAAATCAAATTACTAGACTCGTAATCGTTGCTACATTAGGCAATCTTACAACTGCGCGGAAAACTTTTGTTTCAAACGCTGGATATAGCGATAATTGATATTCGTGAATACAGCGAAACCCAAATGATTTTATCCTATTTTGTCTTTTGAATAAAAATCATAGTATTATTATTAGCGGAACATTTTGAAAAATCAATTTCTCATGAATAGTATTTTTGTCAAACATATATATAGTCCAAGAGATTCATGGGCTCGTTTTTGTATTTTGTCTTGTTATTAAAATTTAATACTTCAAATGTTGTTAGGTTAATAAGATAAAGCAAGAACAAGGCACTAAACTTACATCGATAGATAACCATTTTATATGTGCCAACTTGGTGAAAGAATGCTGGTGAATTGTAGTGAGTTTATTGTGTTCTAGATGAAGTTCCTGAAAAAACAATAATGTGTTTATTTTCCAACCTCATATACACTAATAAAATTACTTCTTCATCGTCATGTATACTAGTAGATTTGTGGCAGTACATTGAGCACACATTTTCAAATCTAGAACTCTTCTTCATTAATTAATCGTTTGTATGGTACAAAAAATCTCGTTAAATCACCAGGCATTTTTTCAGACTTCGATTGCAACTTTGTTTATAGCGAATATCTTTGATATTACATAAAAATTATTTAATTTTGCAATTTTCACTGCACAGAAGAAATCAAATATTCTATCTACCACTTGCTTATCAGGGAGAGTGACGTGCCCCATTTTGTCTATTTGTCACTGGAATTAGCTCAGTTTGTGTCAGTCTGTCAGTTTTTGTACTGCGATGTAACAATTTCAAAATTGTTACTTTTTACTTTGTTTTGTTTCGTTTGAAACCACATTTTATCGTTACATAGATGTAATTTATTTTTACCTTTTCAGGCATTACAAGAATGTTTCAAAATTGTACTCTATGTTGAATATTTTTTCGTTATTTCGAAAATATTGAGAGATTGGCAAAACAAGACTTACTTTTAACTTTACCAGATGATCTAATGCATTCTGTGAAATTCGTGAAATGGAATTGAATTTGAGGTAGAGGTATTGCAAATTTTTTAAATCTGCTCCAAATAGTAAATCAGGGAATGATTTGATGCTGTTGTTGCTCAGATTTAAAATTGTAAGATTCGTCAATCCTCTGTTAAATAATCGAACAATAATGAATTTTATTATACATATATATTATTATTATCATCAAAACAGATAAGTGTTGTAAATATAACAAAGATGCATCCTATTCGAAGATTTTCTGCACACTGAATCAATCAAATTTTGTAGCTGGAAATAAAAATATGGACATGGGAATAGATCATGTTTCATTTTGAAAAAATGCTCATTAAGCTTGGAAAATGCCTGGATAAAACTTTTCATTGCAACCATATACTCGTCCGTCTGTCGTTATTTTACTATAACTTACGTTTTCTAACAAATGTCTGGATGAATTTAGGGTAGTTGATTGTCTAATTTTTATGTCTATACATGGAATGAAGAACTATCTAATTTTTTGGTCGTGAAGGGGTTCCGAATTCGCTTCGTTTTGCACTTTATTATCATTATTCCAAAACAAAATAACTCACACGAAACTTTTGGGATCCAGCGTCGACAGATGGCAATTTATCAGTGATAAATTAAGTAAACTTGGGAGTAGATTGAAACTGTTTGATTTCAAAATTTTCAACGGGTTTCCATCCATGTACAATTTCTGGGTAGAATGTGAAATTGCTGAAAAATGAATAAAAAATGTTGGTTTAAATTTAATTTGACATAGGAACAGATCCGAGGATGGATTGCTCTGAAACAAACTTGCGATTGCTAACTATTAACTTCGTAACTTGTTAAAGGATTCCAGTTTGATTTAGATGCTTCCATTATTGGCACTTTTCATAATTCTTTGACTAAAATAGGATATTCGTCAAGTTTTTAAAGTAAATTGTTCTGAATAATTTTCTTTTCTTCCTTTTACTATTCAAATACTTGGCTGATTTTGGCTTTTTCTCACAAACTAGACACATTCATTCCTCAAAATATTCTAAACGGACTCTTACGATGCAGAAAACTATTCAATCATACTTGCTGGTACTTCCATCAAGTGCTTCTCTCTGCAGTCGGTTTCAACACCCGTTGTCGTACATGATGCTGGTGACTGATTTCTCCGTGATCCGAATGTGAATGTGATGCAAGACAGAACAGCCACGACAATCTGTGGAAAAATGCTCTATGTTAATCTCATGTGTTTAAATTTCATTCGCACTAGATATTTTACACCTTCTTTCAACAAAGCATTCAGAAACCAGTCACTTATACGCTTCGGTGCAATTACAGATGCCAACCGAAGACCAATATATTTTGACATATACTTTCAGTGAAGTAGCGAGTGTGGCGATTTAACCCGGAGCTAATTTTTGACTGCAGCATACTTAAGCTAATCCGCTAAAGTTAATAAGAAGGATATTACGTCTACAGGGAGAAATGCTATTTCTTTTAAAAACATGATGCCTTCAGACAAATCAGTACTTTTCGACCAAGATTTTGCTGAAGCTCAAGAGAAGAACATTTGAAAAAAAATCGCCAAATTGTGAATGAGTATGATACGAGATGTCAATCGTGCGGTAGTTTCGTGGTGAAGATTAAGCTTGGCTTCGTTTTTATTATTTATTCAAGATTCAATCTTATTAATACACAATAATAATATTATACGACACGCTTGTAAATATTGTCAACAGTACATAATAGTATAAACAGCGCCTCCGGGAGAAAATAAGGTTTCCGGACTAAAATATTATTACCGTGTCATGATTTTAATGTTCTACTTTTAAACAATTTGAAATAGACTACTGACCGGTGTTTGACATTCTATCCAGTGATATGGTTGACTGAAGTAAACTTATAAATAGTTTGAATTGGATTAACGTTTACATCTAGTTTCGCTATAATAAAATTTTGAAATTTCAATAACCCATTTCTCTTGTGGTCAACTCAGGTGACCAGCTTTGTCAGATACCCCATGGATGGCCTCGATTTTGCACGTATTTTTGAAGACTCAAATTATTATTGCAAAGTCGTTATTGTGAATTACTTTACGAATGAAAGTCCTAGAAATTATATAGATATTAGTCGTGTACACTGAGATTTGCCACGCATTATAATTATTACATTAATGCGCTTTTAATTACCTCTCCGTTTTCACAAAGAAACGATGCTAAGTTTCCGTTCCTAATTGAAAATTTGTTAACAATGTGAAGGCAGTCAACGTATGTACCATTATATTAATCGCAAAGCGATTTCAAACTTTATATTCACATTAAATTTTTAAATTGGGACAAAATTTGTTGTTTAAATTAGAAGTTTTGGTTCAACTAAATTCATAAGCTAGTAAGTGATTTTAAAGAAATTCATGCGTGTGACCTAATATAGTAACTTGATTTTAATTGACTACAGATACACTTAACGGCTTTTAATTTATTTGGTGTTCCATTCGGAATTCGAGCAACAACAAAATGATCCATAGGTCCATTTCGTGTCTGAAAATGAGCCCAGTTATAACTGACCACTACACAAATAAGTTACTCTTGACTTACCGTAAAACAGTTCTGTATCCTCATAAGCATTTCGTGTTTTCTTTCACTATAAACCACAAGCCTATTCGTTCAGTTATTTGTCTGACAACAGCAAAACTACAAAACACTGTAATTGTGCCTGAAGGTTATATCAAAATGAAACTAACGAACATAAATTAAAAGCATACCGAAGGTTGTCGCATCCAAATGAGCTTATTTCTTTAACTCAATGCCCCGAGGCTGATTGTTCGAAGCAGCGAGTGACTAGACTTTTTCTGTCTCTCATATGACTACGACTGATAATTACATTTAGGTGAATACTATCCAAAGTAAATATAGTTAATCTTCAGCTACATTTTGTATTTAGTTATTCTGCGGTCAGCTGATAATAGAGACACTGTGTGCTAACATTTATTTAATCCTGGTACAAAAATATACTCCTAATCGTATTGATATATTAGTATAACTGATAACCACGATCGGTCCGGATGAAAATATCTCATTTTTTATGTGTTTTATGTCTTACCTATGTATAAAACACATTTACAATTTCTTTTCATTTAAAATAGATATATAAGTTTACTTTAAGAGTGAAACCAGTATTCGTCGAGTGTAATTTCAAACGTTTAGGTTTTCTATGTGACCCAATCAGGTATGGATAACAACATTCCGAAATAAAGTTGATATCGAGTTACATTGCACCGTCTATATAAAGTTGATAAATTCTCAAATTACGAACGACTGAGGAATGGCATCCATCGCCTGTCTAAGATATTGCTGTAACAATCGGAATTGAATTCTGTACTTGCCTAATTAATGCGGTACATTAAGGGTGGGCAATTCAGTTTGAATCAGATAGTGAATTATTTGAATCGATTCTGACAAAAACAATATTTCGGCCTAGGCGGGGAGATTCATTAAAACTTCTATTAACACGATTCATGTAATAAACAAACTTTTTGTGTCAAGTATGAGCTCTAAAATACTAACAAAACAAACCAATTTTTACAAATCTGCGTTATTTTTTATACGACTTCTTGAAAGCCATTTGTTCTGAACGAGGCTTTGCTCAACCAACCACTGCTAGATAAGGACCATGGCTTTAAATCCCGGAAGATTTTGTCGTGTATTGCCTACTCTGTGTGAAGTGGTGACAATGGGATTTGAACTGAAGATTTCAAACTGCAATGCCAGTTAATGCTTCACCTCTAGATTAATTAGTGCAGGCACGCATTTTAATCTCGTGTTTGTGCTCATTGATTTCCTATTTTATTTATTATTTAGGTTTCAACTTTATAGTTATAACTCAACTTCAAAGCCCCTTTAAAATGATTGAAGAACTAATATAATCTAACCACAGTGAAAATTCTACTCAGTGGTCTGCATTTCAGAAAAAATACACATTGCCCTTCTGTAGCTATATATTTCATTCCGCTTTATTTTGGCAATAAAAGCTTTAGAACAATATAAAGCAAAGGAGATTGCAACACAAAATTTTGAAGCTAATATATATAAACTATAATTTTTCTTGTATTTATGAGCAATCACTATCCGAGATAGGTTAACCGGTCATCAGTGATGCAATATGATAATTAAAGAACAATGATTTATAAATTATAACTTGTTTAATAAATTATTCTTAAAAAATATGTCCATTATCAAATCATTTTATATTCAGAAAATGAGTTTATCAGCGAGTTTCTAATTTAGATATTTAAAAAAAGGAAATTTTGTTCGAAATATATTTTTGGACGTTCATTTTGAGTCACTGAGTTGTATATTTTTCATGCGGTGTGAGTGTGACAAAACGCTGTGAGCATTGGGTATCAATACCCGGGTCCAGGAGGGTATCTTGGCTGTCTTGGCCCTGCGTATCCAGCCCCATACTGAGGGGGTGGCATCATTCCTCCAACCGGCATTCTCATCCTGAAATATGTAAGATTACGTTAAGGCGTGGCATTTAAAGATGTATTTTTATGACGTTTTCGTTTCATCACGCAAACTTACCTTCCGTAAACAGGTCTTGGGTATCCGGGCATCATACCCGGTGGGGGCATCCGGTGTCGTGGAGGTTTTCTCATGTCAATATCACTACCACCTGTGAAATAGGAAAATGAAGTAAATTGGTGAATACCAATAGGCAAGTTTAGATAAAAATTTAATCGGGTTGATAAAGATTTAACATAACACTTCTGTTTTACGGTGCACATCGTTTGCAACTGTCATAAAAATGAAACCTCCATTCTATATCACAGATGAAATGTCGTCGATTCGAACCATATTTAAAGAACCCCATTGTTACGTCACAAGTGTATTATCAGTTCTTACCTTGAGACATAGAATCCCATTCTGATGTGCTATCGTAACCATAGGGTGGCGGCATAGGCATTCGACCAGGCTGCATTCTTGGTCTTGCACCTGGTAAAATTGAAAGCATTTTTTTTTTCGAATTAATATAAACGTACTCGTTCTAATTTTTAATAAATTATACTCATTCAATTTACCTGGATTCATAGGCACAAACGCCATTCTCATGTTTGGATGGTTGGGATGCTGATATATAACTGCTCCTGGAGGAGGTCTGGTCATCAATCTAGGACCTCCCATAAATCTTGGTCGAACTCCTGGCGGAAATATAGGTTGCTGTCCGGGCATTGGCCCACCAGGTCTTGGTGGCATTGGAGCTCCAGGTCGGTGTCCCATCGTATGGAATCTTGGATCTCTGTCACGGTCGAACATTTTGTGTGCACCGACACCAATTGGGCCCCTATCGACACTAACTGAGCGACGCATACCGAGAGGTTGTTTGTTTCCAGCTGTAAAATAAAACAATATTTTTATCCTCTATTTTGTGATCAAGTCCATGCTTCCGAAAACAAATACCCAACTAATCCCATACCCGACATGGAATGGTAACCGGACGAGAGGCCGTGGATTGCCATATGGTTAAGCCGTATAATCGACTTTCCTCTCCCAGGGATAAATATGTAAATCCTATCTTATCCTAATTGAAGAATAAAAAACGGTATTCTGTACCTTGCTGTGGAGAAACGCTTCTCCGACCGCTTTGCCTTTGACTTCGACGCAAATTGTTTCTCCCTCGAGTATCTCCTGACATTCGTGCCTGTGAATTAGAAATATAAAAGCAATTAGGTAGGACGAAAGAGTGAGGGTAGAGTGATAGCGAGAGTGTACAGAGGTATATCTTACATTTTCCAGTGTGTTTGAGAACGTTGAATCAGCCGTAAAAGCGACTGAGTCGTCCATTGAAACAAGCCGTTTCGGTTTTTTTAAAACTCCTTTTATAGGCGTCGTCGCACGTGAGGAATTCCCTGACGTCATACTCATTGTTTCGTCACCTAAATCACTTGTACTTGACATCAAACGTCTGCTTTTTCGTATTGTCGATGCATCGGATTCTGAAGCACCTACAGATGTCTCGGTGTCTGTTCTGATTGTAGTCTCTCCGTCTGTTGTTTGTCCGTCGGTCAGTGTCTTATCGGTTTCCGCTTCACTTTGTGTAGCCGACATCTATGGAAATAGATTTTGCTTAAAATGAGAATTTCGTGATAATCTTTTTTGAAAAGTGTAGAAAATGAACGAACGGTGGAATATGGGGGTGGAATGGGATCAATCATAAAACCTGCGTAATTGAAGTCATAACGATCAAATAAATCATACTTGGTATCTTTCTTCTTCCGCTTCCGTTGTTCCTTCTGTCGCTGAATCAATTGCGCTTGTTTCACTTCTTGTGTCATCAGTTGTGACCGAAGATACTGATTTTGGAGGTTTTTTCATTTTATTGATGTTCTTTTTCATTCCTGCTGTGTTTCTCATTACAAGAGCCATACGCCAACTCGGTTCGACCGGTTTGGGGTCAGCTGATAAAAAAAAGAAGAACTTATATGTATAAGATGTTGTTTAGATATGCATTTATTTATAGGATGACAGACCAAAAAGTCGTTTAGCTTTAGAACATATTGTAGAGAGAACATAACTTTTGTGCAAAACGTCTCAGATTGCTGAAACTTTTGGTTCATCACACTAAAACTACATAACATCGAACGCTAAATAATTTTTTTTCATTTTGGTATTAGTAATTAACAATGTTGTTTTTAGTCACACTGTATGAATGTTTTAAAGCGTCGTCAAGTTTGGGTCAGATATCATAGTATTTCACAGAAAGATTCTGACAAATCAAAATTGGTATTAAATTGAATTAAATTTTGTATATTACTTTTTTAAAATTTTATCAAGCTTTCAACAACTAAACTATGGTTTAAATCTTTCGTTAAGTTTTACGTATATTGCTTTCCATGACAAGGATGAGTTTATAGGTAGAAGATAACATATATCAAAGCTAACTAAGAACTAAAAAAACTATAGCTTCCTTCCATAAAATCTGAGATTCTCATAACAGTAGCCCTAACAGCGTAATCAAACACGAACCTTTATGCGGAATTGTTTCTTCTCTATGTGGTATACTATGCTCTATTGTCTCTTCTTTAATTGTGACTCGTTTCCCAGACGAAGTTCCACTTCTTCTGGAGGTCGTTCTACTGTTACTCATATCACCAGATTCGAATTCGTTATCTAATTCTCGACTTATAGTCCGAATTTCTTGTCCCTGTTCGGGTGGTGCACCCTGAACAGGAACGACTCCAATCGAGGCTTGGTTGCTGCTAGCACTACTTCGCCGACGACGCGCCTGCAATGAAATATTTTTCATAATGAAAACGTAGTCTAAGGCTATATATTTCATATTAAATTTAATGCAGCGATTGAAATATAAAGGGTGGTAGATAATTTGCTTTAAATGAATCGGTATATAAAAGTAACACATATTGTCGAAATATAACTGAAAAAACACAAGTTTAGCAAAATAAAAAAAAATATTATTTTATGAGATGTATCGACTTTAAAAAGACTTTAGACAAGTAGAAATCGTGGATGAAGATTTAGAAAGCTGCATATAACTACTTTATGTTTTAACATATTTTGTCTATGTCGCACACCCTTCTCTTTTTTCTGGCAGCCTCTGCTGCTTCTTTTTCAATCTGCTTTCTCCGTTTTCGTTTAAACCAGCAAGCAGCAAGAATAGAGAAAATAACTGCGATTAAAACAACGCCACCCACAGCTAAAGAGACGATTAAAATTACGCTCGGTTGGCCGATCTCTTCTTGTCTGACCATTTTCACACCTGTTGTAAAAAACAAGAAATATAATTGTGGAATCTTGTGCAAAATGCGTCTTAAGCATAACTTTGGAGTTAGCGTTTAAAAGTATTATTAACTATGGCTGAGTCACAAAATAGAAATCTCGGGATTAAGCCCTTGCCAAAACCTTACCCAGAGTGTGAAAAATTGGGTAGATAATATGTTATCGTTTCAAAAATAGTAAATCACTGCTTATCACATTCAACTACAATCAAAGAATTGCAGCTTCATATACTTTTATCAATGGCCGAAAAAAGATGTAGAAAACCATATTTTCTGTAATAAAGTCTTACGCTGTTTCATAGACAAATTTCTGTAGTATTTTTTTTCTAACTTACAATGCGATCTATGAGTAGATCCAATGTTTCTTGTTCCAGTTCCATCAGCGCATTCAATACACTGCGGTGTTCCTGTTTTTTCTTGGAATGTATGCAAAGAACAAAACTCACAGTCGCCCTCGTGCCAGTAAGTTCCCCGCGGACATTGGACTGTGAAAATACAAGTCATATTTCAAAAGCATGTGACATCATTACCATATGACGTCATCGCCATATTAATTATCCATGTCATATGAATAATTTAGTATTATAGCAGATGGTTAATTTTGAAAACGCAAAAATTATTATTCAAGAGTGAATGGCGTCATTGACTTGTGACGTTATGACTATGATTGGATTTGATATCATTTCATCATAGTAATTTTTAGAAATCTGTGAAAGAAGAAAATTTTTCTTTTCTTACCACAGCCGTCTTTAACTCCTTTAAAACCTTTTTTACATAAAACATTGATGTCGCTCAATTTTGCTTCTTCACTAGCCGAATAATCCTTCATGTCTGAACCCCTTGCTTGGAATTCTCCTCCAACGGCTTTGTCTAAAATCTCAGTAACGGAACGTTTTACGATTCTTCTTGCTTCTGATATAGTGGAAACCTCGTCCAGTTTTGCCAAGTCGACCTGTTTTATCATAGACATTTGAAGTAAGCATTTTATTAAGCATATTTCTGCTCGAAATTTACTGTTTTTACTTATTTTTTATTAACATTGTCTATTTAATTTCATTATGCTTTCGTTAACAAGTAAGAAATTCAATTTACAATTTACAAGATTTCTGGGAGGAACCGAGAATTAGGTATTTTTAAATTTGGTGTCAATAATTATTATAGAGAAAGTAATTCAGTTTGCTGTGAAATCATAATATGACCCCAAAATGGAGTATGTGAAATTGAACAAAAATTACTATATAGTTTCAATTTTAATGGGGGCTTCGACCGACGTCTCCAGCAGTAAACGGCAAGGTAGATCCACTCAAAGCGTTGTTTGTCACATATTCACCAACATCATTAATGGCATACCTGTCATTAAATCTTCACAGACAATCTTTTTTTAAGTTTCTCTCACCTTTATAACAAGTTCTACTGTAGAAGCATTCACGCATTCCAAAAACATCTTTTTCTCAGCGTTGATACATAGACCGAGAGAATATTGTCTTGTCATACAACTAACAGCGTCTCTCAGTCTCCGAGCCATAATTTGATAAGTATATTCATAGAATGTAGACGTTGGTCGACATGGACATGGATATTGAAGTGTAATAACTTGCTGAGGGTTACCAATTGCAGGCACTGACAAGTGAAATATGAAAGTTAATTAAGACATACTTAAAAATCATAAACTCCAAGTTAATTCCCCGACGATTCGACACGAAATAAACCGAAATAATGGTCGCAAATTGTACGATGATGAATGTTCACTACACTTGTGCTTATTACAAATGTAAGATTTTATTAAATAACGAAATCCAATATTATTTGGAAATTGGTGCAAGATTCGTATAATGTACTTTAACGATTGTGCGGGTCATTTGTTTTTTCGAAACAGTACAACAATTGCATCAGTATTTTTATCTGATTGGCAGAGTAATCTTAACCTAAACTATATTTTTATGATTGTGTCAGTTCTGTTTGATTGCATCTTGAGCTAGGATAGGCTAAAGGTCATGTATTAAAGTGCAGCACTATGTCAGGCAGGAATGCAGTTTTTTTCCGTACAATACATTCTTATAAATATCTATAATATATTCTCACATTTACAAACGTTGTCATCCAAAAATGGCAGCCAGTCGATCGAATATTTATCCAGATCATGACGACATTTTATTATCGGAGTTTTCAGAGATAAACTGTATCCATCTTGGCATGTTATTTGGCAAACTTGATCACCGGTAACCATATCAGAATGGCATGTGAGGTAACTGTTTGGAGGTACCCATGGACTACCGCAGCGGGCACCTGAACAATAGAAATTATGACGTAATAAATACCTAATAAGAAGTGATGTCGCAAACATAATAATTTTGAAATAGCTAATTAAGATTTTTAATCATTTGAATTCATTGAATTGATATTTAAGTATTGCAATGCAAGAATATGAAGTCATTAAATTACGTCATATAATAAAAATATTTCCATTTTACGGTTCGACGGCATCATATCGTAATCAAACGTAATTATTAAACACTCACTTCTGTGCATTACAGCTACCATGAAAGAGCAGACGATTGAATTCCCTGCAGTATCGTAAGCCGTATATTCGACTGTATGAATGCCGTCCATAAATTGTCCTGGTTTGTGGGTGTTTACAACGATTGGTGTTACTCTGGTGTTGTCTTCAAACTTTGGTTCCATCCAAGTCACAAAAGTTGTTTTTCCATCGTCATACGCTTCGACATCCAAGTCGCTGGGGCAGTAGAGTATTTTTGGCGGCGTTACATCTGAATTTATAAAACGAGGTTTATTTTATCTGTAGCTTTACACTTTATCATATTGGGGGTTCGAAGTATTTATTACAATTATAAACATTCCAATTTTGGTAAAATATATCTAATTGCGAATATTAAAATTTGTACAATTACCTTTGACTGTAACCGTAGTGTTACAGTATATACTTCTGTTATATCTGTCCGTAGCTTTGAATTGTATATTATGAACTCCTGGGTATACTTTTGAGTATTGTGTATCTACTAATGTAACATTCAAATCTTTATCAGCAATATTCAAGGCACGAAGACTCAAAAGGTTTGCATTTATTTCAATGAAGCCTTCATCTTCAGGTATAGAAATAGTGAAAAGTGCAGTTTCGTTGCTCAGGAGCTCCATACATAGTGGGAAACGCGGCAGAGGAGGTAGTGCTAAAATAGGAAAATATTTTTCAATAATATATCGTACAGAAATGAATTTGTACAGCGCAGTTTGTCACCGACAGTTCCATAAAGATTATATTTTAAACAAAGGTTGACAAACAAGCAGTTCATCGACATCCCATCGTCGATAAAGGCATCAATATGCTGTTGATACCGTAACATATAACTAACACAAAATTATCATTAAACCTAATTATTGAGCATTAAGTTTCATTTTATCTAAATTAACTTTGATTATGTTTGTACTTGTTGTCGTGGCCTGTGTAGCGGTGGTAGGTTCTGGTGTTGTCGCAGTTTCCATGTATATTGTTGTTGTCATTATCGCTGTTGTGTTAGCAACAGTTGTAACTTCCGGTAATCTCTCCAACTGAAAAGTGAAATTTAATATTTTTAATACAATCTGAATTGTATAAAAATTGTTTTCGATTTCAAATCCCATATGCCCACAACATCATCAGAATATAATAAATTTGGTTAACAATGACGATTCGGAAACATTCCAGTTCTTTCAAATAGAATTGTTCGGAGTGAAAAAATCTAAAGCATAGTAAAAAATATCCCAAAGTATTTCTTGTATTGGGGTATTTACAAGACGTAAACATAAAATGATCAAACCCATTAAAATTAACATTAAAGTTGAACATGCCATATCGGACATTAAGGTAAAACGTTTATTCCAAAGCGTCGTTTGAAACCCTTTCGATTAGGTTATTCTGGCATTAAGTTTTTCTATAAACAAACGAGCGATTCGCCTTCTAAACCGTACCAGTATCCAGCTCTAGACTTACTCGCAAAGTTCTTTCTTCCTCGAATTCCATTGCTTCTGTAAACTCATCTCCCCATGCCATGGTTGTTAAGTCTTCATCAATAGTAACGGGTGGTTCAAGCGTCGTTGTGTAAAGATGCAAATTTTCAGCTGAATTGAGTAAAATTGGAAAATATAAAAAAAAGCACAAGTGAATGCATCAAAGATCTGACATGCGTGTACTTTATATAGATTTTTGAATTGCAGAATATTCTGCAAAAAGTGTTCACTGGAGCGTGGCCAATTCCTTAATATTACACTCACGTCTTACGCAGTTTTTCAAGTTGTTTGCCAATACGAGATGGTCCGGACATAAGCATCTGTAACTTCCAGCACTTGGTACACATATATGACTGCAATCGTGGATGGCTGTACTGCATTGACTTTTAACTATAACAAAATTATATCCATTGAAAACTTATTCTTTTAACGTAATAACGCCAGTATATCCAGAAACACTTTATAAGTAAAAAACAAATGTTGTGTTATTCTTACTTTCCGGTCTATATGCTGAAAAATGAGTATAAATCTGTGTCGGCCTAGTAAGGTTTGTAACGAGAACCGAAGATTCCAGCAATCCTCTTTTATACAACGTTCCCGTTTCCCAATCCGTAAACAGCAAGTGAGCTCCCATTTTCCCTAGTCCGAATAAATGCTCCACGGTTCCATTGAGATCAATAAAGTCAAGTATGTCGACACCTATTGAGTGAGAGAGAGAGAAGGATAGAGATTAGTTTGTGTACAATTTTATTGGAAAGTAATCTCTGAATAAAAATGAGAATAGATTTATTTTCAAATTAATTTCAGAATATTGTCCTTGTTTCATAAAATTCAGGTTTTTTAAATAACTTTTTCAAAACTACAGCATACAATCAATGTAGCAATAATATTTTTCCTACCGAAATTATTGTAAGATCTAGAAATAGCAGAAATTGATTGTAATTTCAATTTTGCGCCATCAGCAACATAAATTTTGTCTTCGTCTACGTCATAATAAAGTCCGTTTGGCCATTTCAAATCAGTCGTAATTAGAGGGCGGGGATCGTAACCATTCATCCGCGACGACATCAACATTGCAGCTCTGCCCCATTCTGTCCAGTATATTACCCTGAAACAAACATCGGAGTTGACATTAAATTGCAAAACGGTAGATCTAAAATGGGCTCTTGTTTCATTTTGACCTCCACCTTTTTCGCGTTTCTAACGAACATTAGCTTGAAGAAGCATGCAGTGCTCAAAACATTGATTCGGCAACTCAAGTCAGCATTTATCAAAATCGAAGTGACTCGATTCATTTAAATGAAATGACTCGGGCCAGGAAGAACAATTAGTAAATTACACATAATAGAAATGATCCACAGATCTAAAAACCGTTTTTACAATGTACTTCCTACAGTGAACAGTGTGCTATATCTTTTTTATTTTAAATGTTCACCTACCCCATGCTAGAGTCCAAAGTAATCGCCCTCGGATTATTCAATTGTTCGTGTACTGTAGCATGTGTCATACCACTGAGATCCATCATTTCTATTGTACCCAGTCCCCCATCTGTCCAATACAGGAGTCGATTGTCCGGATCTAAAGCCATTCCTTCAACCATTTCTGAATATGAGTGAGCAAATATGATTTAACAATCATGATTGAAACACGTATCGGTACATATATATAAAACGCAGTTTTGATTAGATGGCGCTCGGGACCACAACCGGTTCAAACTAGTCATAAGTGGTTTTACTTTTTTAGGTGCGATGCTGTATTAAAAATCAGAAATAATAGGGTAATTGAAAAGCGTTTTTTAACTTTAGCTAAGATAGGATTTCCAACCGTCTAATCTCAGCGAAAACAATCCATATTTGGGTTGGAAATTTGGGTTTAAAGTAGCTATTTCGCTATGAAAATTAATTTTGTTACATTGAATCATAGCAGTTTAAAGATATCGGGTTCAAACCTATTGCCCAATGTCTAAGCTCAAACGTGATATAAAAAATAGGGTAGACTGGTTTGAACCACATACATTATTATCATTTAAAATACAGATCGAAATTTTATGTGAATCAGAGGCTTTTTGTTTGCATTGATTGCGGCGGTGGTGTGGGGTACTTACTTACTGCTTATCAATTTTGTTATCGTCTGATTTTTAATATTATTGATAATACTCGTTGGAGTCGGTGAATAAATCGGTGATAAATACAATTACCTATTTCTGTATATATCACTTCTATGTCCTTTGTCGTACCACCGTCGCCAGCTAATGGGGATCCCAACATTTTACGACAGATCCTTTGTCGTCCATTGTCTGCCCAATACACATAATGTGTGATAGGATCGAAAGCAATTGCGACTATGTTGCTGTAATCATCGAATGTACGAACAACCATATAAGTTGATGGATCATCTGGACTGTCGCTTATCATGAGAATTTTATTCACATCGGCAATTAAGACGAAACGATCAGGAGCTGAAATATAAATGGGCAGTGAATTGAGTACCACTGCTTGAAAAAAGAAGTTTATATATCGATACGTCAGTGTGAAAAAACAAAACTGAGAAATAATAGGAAGTTTTGTAACACTAGTATGTTCCATACCGACACAGTCGAAATCATTTTCTGACATCGCTTTTCCAATATTATCTGGGCACAAACACGATGAATAATCTTGATCAACCGGAACGCACACGTGACTACACTTTTTACCTTTCATGCAGTCATTCTTATCTGAACAATAAATGTTATGCGAGTTAACACAAAGCAGAGTCCCTAACACTGAACCAATTTTCCAAAATTCACCGCTAGAGATCTATACTGAGCGAACAATAAATTTACTTACATTTTTTCTTAGGATTTAAGCTCGCCCTTACGATCCCTGTTGGTTTACCAATTCCTTTTGCTATTGGTTTCATGATTCCAGTATTAACATCAATTTCGGATACTGCTCCTGTTCCCCAATCAGTAACGAACAAAGTTTTTTGATCCATAGACAGTCCAAAGGGAACCTGTAATATTATTACGTTTATGATAAGCTAGTCTGTAATAAAATAACACCCCAAAGGAGTTTGACCCGTGCCCTGAATTTTTTATGTGATAACGTGAATTTGTTATTGGACACGAAATGTACATATGGATCGTTTTTTTTCATGTTGTTGTTTTTATTTCTTTCTTTTTTTGTGAAAAAATCTATTTTTTCATCAACTACTAGACCAATTGCCTTAAAATTTGAAATGGTTATAGATTTTGTTTGTTGCTAGAAGGCTAGTCGGCGGATCTCGTGCTCAGAAAAAGTCGTTAAAACTGCGGTACCGATAGCCTACCGTGAAAGATTGCATATATATATGATTTTACTTCGTTTTGCCTTTGTGTCCGTATATTTAAGCATCGCTCTCTTGAGTATAAAGCTGTAGCAAAAATCTAATTTTTTGTAAAATTGATGGGAGTTGAAATATTTGTTATCATTTTTGGATCAGAGAGTGGGATGGTAAATATAGCTGATTCAACTTCCCTGTCACGGAACGCTTTTACTTCATGAGAGACCATAGTTTGTCTTATGATTAATCCATCTTATAGGCTTTCCTATCAAATATATCAAACCGTAATTAAAATATACCTCAAATTCCAAGTCCATATTCTCTTCTAATTTATCCAAAGCAGTATCATATTTGATTAACGAAGGTGGTCTTCCATAAATGATAGTTCCATTCACTTCCACTAGCGCACTCTTGCGGTGAGAATCGGTAACAAAAAGAATCGCGTCATCGAGTGCGAGACCGTTAGGATTTTCCACGACAACAGGGACGAGATGGGGATTCCGACCGTCTAAATCAAGGCGAACAACCTTTGCGTCCACTCCCCAGTCAGAGTAATACAAAAATCTGCGGATGAAGATAAATATGAACAAAAATATTGGTAGCCATCTACGTAAAATATATTTACATAATATATTTGCTTCCCAAAGGCACAAGAACTTGAACTTATTAATAAACCATTTTAACCAGAAATTATTTATTACACACCGGGAGAGCTGGCTTGGATGGGGTTCAAACCCACTTTAGTTGAACTTGAACGCATTAATCGTACTCACCCTCTTTCTTGATCAATAACAATATCCCTCGGCCTGTCTAAGCCTTGTTGGACTAATACCTTACGGCCAGTACCATCAAGCCGAATAAATTCAATTCGTCCGAATTGTTTATCTTGTGCTTCCCAGCCATAATTTGTAAAATAAAGATGTCGATTCACCCAGTCAACGACTATACCTGTTAAGATAATGGAAGCATGGATAATAAGAACAAAGTTGTTTTGTGTGATACCTAAATGCAAGTAATTCGTACATCATTTTTGATCCGGAATGGATTTTGATGGCTTATAATATACAATGCTTATCTTTTTACCCAGATCAAGCCTGTTCGGGCGTAACACAAGCTCATCAAGATGTTACCATTTCTAATTGGAAATATAGTACATGTTACGATTATTTCACAGTCAGATCGCGGTGTTGTGTCGAGTATATGCCAACACAGTCAAAATGAGTACACAACTATCTAAATAATATAAAAAGATTTTGATTTTTAGTTTTTTTACGTGTTTCTCTACAATTCTGTATTTGGGTATACAACTTCCATCTGTATTGAAACGCCAACATACTGATTTAATACGGGAGCAACCTATGTCCACATAGTATATAGTAGCACTTATTATATAAAATCGGTTATTTTAATAATTAATAACTTATTAAGCTTCATATAACACCACGGGAAATCTTACCTAACTTCTCAATTATTTTCGTAGACATGTTACCAAACTAGTTTTCATGTTGCTAAGATAAGACTAAGTCATTTTACCCTAAGGCTATTCTAGGGAACCAGATGACACAAACGACTGACAATAAATGTTCAAGTTACCGGTATTGCCTCGTAAAACTGCAACGTAAAGTTTTTCATTTCCAACAAAGTTTGGAGTACATGTACTTGATTTTATTATACTATTGTTTCCTTGTATGTGTCACACTCAATACTGTTACAATACAAATTAGAAGCACAGTGGTCAAATTAGGAGTAGTGTGTAAGGATGGCTATATAGTCCTAATTGCCATTTGAATAGCCCTCTCCCCTACTAGGACTTATACAAAATTTATAGTGAATCTGACCGTCTACGATTCCGATTCCGTCTTCAAGGAACACATCATATCCAGTCCCATTTAATCTCATTCGATAAATGGCGTTTGTTGCAACATCGCTCCAATACATCATCTAAAGTTTGGAAGTTTGCATTTTTTTTAAATGTTTTTTATGATTCGTTAGCAATAGTTTGTTGCACTTGTTATCTGCAATTAACAGTTTGAACAACTTCTGCGAATTCGCAAGTTACATTGACAGGAAAGAATAAAACGTTCGGTATATTTTACCGCATATACAAAGATTGGAAACCCCAAAGTTTCTCTAAGCAATAGTCGCTTTCACTTGTTAATTATTATTATCTCGGATTGTCACAAGTCACAAGTAAGATAAAATTTCGTTACAGAACAAGATTGGTGACTTACATTTCTTTATCAAGGGTCGTTACATCTGGATTTAGATTTTAGAAAACGACGCACAATAACAACTTACATCTATCGATAATTGGGCCATCCCAGGATTTTTGATAATCGCCAGTAATTGAAATTCATAAATTATCTCACATAGTTGAAATTAAAGTGGATCTGCGTGGTTCAATTTAGCCAATTTAATCTTTGCAAACTAACGACTGCGCGTTTGCACATATTGAGGCATATATCGAATCCGTACCTTGTCTATGGGATCGTAGTCTATTCCGGATGGTTGTGTAGCATGAGTCAATAAAACCGGATTCGGTTTTGTACCGAATTCTTTTGAAGCAATCATAATGGATCCATCGTGTACAGAAGTGAATAGAATAAACTCTTCGGGCACTGTAATTAGGGTAATACGACGTGTTGAAAATTTATTTATGTTTTCTGCAATATAGTTGCATACTGACTATTTCCAATAGTTGATTATATGTTGAATTGCACTAAACAGTATCTTGTTAGGAACTAAAAGTAGGCTTATAAATTCAATAATTATATGAAATAAAATTAAAAATATCCACTAATAGCGATCTCAAATCAGAAGATATTACGGTCTTGAAATAGAATATGATTTTACGTCTGCACAGCATTAAATTTTATTTTATTGTTCATCATTTAATATATTTTGTCATATATACCTTTACAAGTGTGTTGGTCTTGAGATAATACCATTCCAGTTTTTTCCGGGCATGCACAACTATATGATCCTCGTGATTTTGGGAGACAAATATGACTGCATGGAGATCTATGTCTTCGACAAAGTCCCATACTGTTTGCTGTAATAAGAAGATGATAAATCAAAAAAGAAATTAATTAATTTAGTGAAATAACTCGTTAATATTTTAAAGCACTGATTCACGTTAAAAATATAATTTCAATTGAATGAAATAATATATTATTACGTCGCCTAACATCTATTACGTTGTTGATGACGTCACATAAATTATATAAAGTGTGGATTCACTATTCGGTAAGTAGGATTCTATGATGTCAAATATTTCATACCATATAGGTAGTAAGATATATTCAGAGCTTACAGGATGTAATTTTATTATTATATTTGAACTACTTACAAATAGGCGCTTGCTGCATATCTCTATTAATAATGGCGATGCCTGCAAGGTTTTCGTATAAACCTGAAACAACTTGCTTCAGATCTTGCCCAAGCACCGTGACAGAATAGACAGCTTTTTCTCTCCATATTCTAGAAATGATTTTCAAAAAAATAAAAAAAAGAACATAGATAAAGATACCTAAACAACTGCATCGGATATTGGATAACTAATGTGATTGTAATTTAGTCCATTGTATTATTAACCGATAGTGAATACGTTTTGTTACAAATTTGGTGTATTTTCAAATCACACAATAACGATTCTGACTGCTTGCGTGTGAAATAGTTTCGGAATTTTACATAGAATTTCACTTCTCTTGAATCTTGGTTCTGCTATCTTTCATAAAATAAATATTGAACATATAAATTTCTTAAACTTAAATCTTATTTTCGGAGCCAATAAACGAGCAACAGCACAAATTCTTTCACTTACGAGAAATACAATCTTCCTCCAAAGAGTGAAAGACCGTATCCAGGACTGTCAAATGTAATAGCAAAGTCAAGAATTTTCTTCCAAGAAGTTCCGTCAAAGTTACACGATTCTATCGTTCGTTTCTTTCCATCTATCCAATATATTTTACTGCAAAATGAGAATATTTATGATGCTTGTATTTGGAATGATGTACATAAACAACAAACAGTGTTGGACCCAACTCACGTCCTTGTCACATCCACCGCAATTTCGTTTGGCCATCCCAGTCCACCTATGACTACTTTCCTATTACTGCCATCCATAGCGGCAGTTTCTATCGTACCGTCTTCTTGATCTGACCAGAACATGATGCTAAAAAAGGATATTAGTATAGAATTCGGCAAAGTTAGTTTTCCAATACAAAATATCAGCTTGTATATTTGAATGACGATAAACATTGTTTCATTTTATGACAAAAACCTACCCGTGTAACGGCAATACTACAATTCCTCTTGGTTCTGATAAACCTCCGACGACCAAAGTTTTATGTTGCCCATTTTCTTTAGCAACATAGATAGATCTCATTTGTGCGTCGGTCCAATAAACATTCTTAGCCAACCAATCAACTGCTATTCCATTGGGTTCGTAAACATCTGCACGGAAAATGAATTGAAATAATTATAAAACATGCATATCTTCGTTCATATATTTATATATTTTTTAAATCTATAATTACCTTCCGTTATAATTCTTCTAGGATTATGACCATTGGAAAATGTTGCTTTATAGATCCCACGTCCCTTATAACTGACATCAGTCCAGTAAATTGTGTCACTTTCAATATCAACATCAACAGCAACAGTGCGACCAGGTAAATCCTAAATAAAACACATATCATTCAATAAATCAATGCAAATAATAAAAGAGGAATAAAATTCTGATACTGAGGGGTACTCACTCGAATAAAAGAAGTAGTAAATCCGGCAGCGTTGCTGAGCTTTACTTTAGCTATGTTTGTAACGTCTGCAACTACCATCAAAGCATCTTCCCCTGAAAAATAAAGAATTATAGTGAAAAAATATGCAACATTGCTGGCTGCTGCGTTGCTCGTCAGAATAAAATATGCGACTGCAAGCACTGGCAGCATCGCTGGTAATAGTGCATTTTAAAAACCCATTATCGATAACTTTTTTGTCGAAAAAACTATAAATCATTGTAAAATTGTACTCGTATAAACTACGTCGACTATTATAAGTAGCAATTCGGTATATTCACGGTACAAATATCGATAAATAGTTTCAACGAATCTTCCATATGTAGTCATACTTACTCGCGTAAAAGCAGTTCCATTGTCCTCTCCTCGTACAAGTACACTTTTTTAATCTGTCATTTCCAGTAGCAGTAGTCCATGTTTCTCCAACTTGGTGGGTAACTCCATTAACATTGCAATAGTCTGTGAAGCACAAAATATAATAATCATATAAATAAGTGTCTGGTAATATCAATAAACAATCAAATAGCGCTGAATCTTGACCTATGTATTTTAGTCGTAGCATCCTTATCGTTACCGTACAGTATCATATTTTTTGTATTAGTCAAAGTTAAATATGTCATGTTTTCTACAAAAATTACGGAATGCCACAGTCTACACACAAAATAGGAATAATAAATATAGACAAAATATTATTTCGGAATACAAAGTTTTTTTTTATATATTAGTTTACTTACTTGCTTGTGCGTCGCTGCTATTTATCCACGCCAACAAAATGATAAGAGCAGCGTACAACAACCCGACTCCATTCTTCATTTTATTATTCGCCATGGAGATTAATTTATTGTAACACTACTGTTACTTAAAATTCCATAGTTTTTCTAATTTAGTTGATTCTAGCATGAATGAAATATGAATACAGACGATTTGGATTATGCTCTAAAATATGGAATTTGAAAGCATACTGCTATTGCTGTAATCTATAGCTATATATTACAGATTTGTCTAAACTACATCTAAGCTAAATCTAATTTGACTGCTATTAGTTCCCAAGCTGTCGTCTAATTCTCACGAGGGATAACAACAATGAAGAGTTGTGAAATACGTGGAACGCTTTCGCTATAAGAGAAAGGTTGCCCCGGGCGTTATAATACCAAGTATGAATAGTTCACTGAAATATTAGACGAGAAAAGTTTGGAAATATAAATATGTTAAGTAACTTTGACCCTTACCATAGCCATAAATTTTAAATGTTAGGTTGCGTTTGGTGAATCAAACTAGCCATCAGATATTGGATCTTCATGACTATCCTCTCAATCCCAGTAGTTTACACATGCGGCATGTTGTTGATGCGATAAAAGGACTCTCACAAAACGTCATAAACTCAGACCGATTTTCTGTTAGTCTACCTAAATATTTTAATAAAAGTTCATAAATGTTATTGTCAAATAAAGATATTACCCTTACACTCACATACCAGGATATTGGGTTTTATTTCAGGAGAATCATATAATGAATTTTAATTCGGTAATTTGCATCGTACACCTGAACGTGCTTTTAGTAATGAGGCAACCTCCCTACTTTTTTGGTACCAAACCTCTGGGAACTAAAGTATCTGAATTCATTTTTGTTAATTAAGTCATGGGTGGTGAAATCCTGAATTAGTGAATCAGAAATAAAGTTTGCTAGGGTGTATCAAATTATTAATCTTCACAAAGAGAAAGGTAAGGTTAAATGCGCAGGGGCAAGTTCTGAACAGATTTCGTTGTGGAATCTCTTTTCACGAGAGGATTCAAATCTTCTTTATAAAATGGCGAATCTTTTTTCTGAATGGCATTTTTTGTGAAAGGTGGGTATATATACATATACAATACTACGTTAGAATTATGTAGTTTTGAACTACATCATGCAGCATTTGTACTGGGACTGAGTTGATTTCTTGCTCGATTTTATGAAATTCATGTGTGAAAACATGGATTTGCATGAATATGAAAAACGACAAATACCACAGCGATATGGCAAATCCTTTCGCGGATTCAAAAAGTTTCGGGGTTAAATTCCCTTCAACGATAATTTGCTGCTCATTTTTCAACCACATTAAAGTCACTATAATCCGGATTTCTTTTTATTCCAGCTTTCTGAGGGCATTGGTATAAGTATAATAAAGTTTTCAATTATTTTCTAATTGGTGAGACGAAGCCACTTTACCTTGAGATTCTCAAATGGAACCGCTGTCCTTACAGCGACATTTAGCTCCAACATCCCGACTAACACTCTATATCCTGACCTAAACGAAGTAATCGCCTCAAATAGATGGTGTTACTCTTAGGTAGACGACGCTAGAAAGGAACAATAGGATAAATTGTATTTTTTATTTCAACACGTCGTGACAGCATTGCGGCGAGCAGATATAGAACGCAGCCCCAGTGGTAGTTTATTTATTGGTAGATGGAATTAAAGCAGACCCCATTACAAAACTTTTCATCCGCAAAATGTTAACACGTTTTTTCACAATAACGACAAATTGCATCGTGACCAACGGGCAAGTGGTTCGCCATCTCTGCACTAAACTATAGCTAGGCTCTACGTAATATCGATGTTTTAAATATCACGAGTCTTGTCAAGTTAGATGGCATCATTCATTACACACGGTGTATAGAGCGGAGCTTCAACTACATCTCGCTGTCAATGGTCCACTGTTTTAAATATATCAATATCGGTCAAAACAACCAAAAGAATCTAATAGACCCACTTGTTTAAAAAAATGACTAAATATATGGATATCTCGGTATAGATTTGCACTGAAACTTGAAACCATACGCGAAAATGTCTATTCTAAATTGGAAGCGGAACAAAACATATGGATCACATGAGAAAATCAAAATGATAAAAAAAGTTTGGGTTAACCAAGTTTGTAGAACACAATGGGCTTCTAGGCACGTAAAATAATTTTTTTAAACCTAAAATACACAAGGTCATTGATTACCACGAGAATATCCAAATTGATAGTATTTTTCATTCGTTTTCCGACACTCGAACAAAAATCAACTTGAATATGAAAAATACTACTACATACTATACAGAAACTTTTGTCTACGGCAATTCAAAATATTATTTACGCTGAAAACATCTTAGTCATGCATAACCATGATCAATCTAAGAAATCAAATAGGACGCTGTCCGTGTCATGGTTGCCATCTATATAAAAGTATGCTTGATAAATGGTATGATGAACGGGTGACTACGCATTTATTGAACTATAGCAACTTTCAGTGATAAGAATAGAACTTGAGAATAGCATTTGTAGAAATTGCGCCGTAGATCTTCATTAGCCAATTTCATATGCTATTATCATTTGATTTTTCAAAATAAAACTACTTCAAGAGCAGTTAACTAGTTGTCCCATATGCAGCGACGAATTGAAGAATTTCGCTTTTCAATAATATCTGCCGAACAATCTCAATGGCATCATAAAACAAATATTAATGTTATAAATCATAGCCAGGCCAAAATATGTTCCAAAATATGGCAAATACCATAAGAGCGATATAAACAGCAACAGCAACCCAGAACACGATTTTATCAGTGAGTGATTTCCTGAAGTTTTTCAAAACTATAAGACCCATTGTTAGTCCAGCTAAAGCTCCCGCGACGTGTGCAACAAAAGAAACTTTAGCGCCGCCACTGGAACTGTCAAATCTTCGATAAATGGAGTATCCGAAATCGAAACACACTGAAAACAAAAGTTTCATATTGACAGTAAATATCGATATTATTTGACTGTTCTCTAATTTGAAAATTTCAGTGGGAAATTAATAATTAATATATCATAAAGTAAAACTGCAGAATCTACAAGTTGCCGAAACTTAAAATGAACAATTGTTATATTACTAATTTCGCATGTGAAAATAAGCCTTAGAACTTCGCTATCAATGAATTTTCGTGTTTTTTTCGGGCACGAAATGTCCATATGTATCTTTATTGTTGTTCTTGTTTATTCAATAATAATGATGATACTTACGTATGAATAGAACAAAGAATGTCCTGAGTAGACTGGACAGCTTATGCATAACATCGCCATTCTGTTGAAAAAATAATAATACATTTTTGATTTATCCAAAAAACTGAAGAAAATCTGCAAATCAATGCAACAACAAGAGTTTTACTCACAAGAATAACGTTGGCTAGATGGGCTGTAAACATAGCGTACACTCCTCCACTAGCACCGACTAGTATAGTGTATGGATCGAAAATGGACGACGCGAGAGAACCTAAAAAAATAGTTCAAAAATACAAAAATTTCTCTTATTCTTCTTGCACGTTTTCTAAAAATACTTAACACAAGAACAAGAAAATCAGAAAAGCATATGATTATAGGATGCAGGATAATCAATGCATAAACAAGAAGTCAAATTTTAAATAGTTGCCTTGTGCTATTAAAATATAATCTTTCGTTTCGATGACGCACACAAAAAATGAATCCCATAGAGCTCGCAGAAATATTTGAAACAAATAAAAGTCTTTTAGCGAAATGCAATTTTTAACCACTAAAAATTTTGAATCAATTAGTTCAGTAGTTGATGAGAAAAGCGTATTTTTTTCACAATATGAGGAAAATGAAAAAATACTTAAAAGATGAACAACAACATAACCAAACGATCCATATGTTCACTTTGTGTCCAAGACGATAATGAGCTTAATGAGTAGATATTGCGTTATATTGACCTTCTTAACCATTGGCTCCCTTCAAGGAAAATGAGTCTTAAAGCCTCCAAAGGTACTCCTAAGATCAGTTGTACAAAGACGTTAAAACCGACATGTTCCAACCTGAAGATAAAATTATTAGCATATATTACAATGAAGTATTTTATGAAATACTGATAACAGTTATAAGTGATATTAACAATCGCTGATTTTAGTGGCAGTTTTTCTTGCGACAGAGATGCTAGTTGACACGAGAGCTGAAACCAATTCATACAAAAACAGTTAGCCTATTTTTTCAGAAACTAAATATGAATATTTACTAATATATAAATTTTCATCTATAATTTTGACAAATTCATTAGCAATTTGTTATCAATGTAAAGTAACATTAGAAAATCTCTCACCCAGCATGTGTCAGCATATAAGAAAAGAAACGCCAAGCTTGTTCTCTTTTGGAAGGATCAAACACAAGAGGGCTTTGTAATAAATCTCTATGGTATGTCAACCATTCTCCGAGAGTTACTCCATAGTATATATAAACTGCGATCTGGGATTCGGAAATACAAAAAAGTGAACCGTTAAGAAGGAAAACGGGAGTTGTAATTTCAGTTAGCTTGGATAAATTGACTAAAACATTGTAAATAAACCAACATAGCTAGCAATATAACATTTGTAAAAGCCAACTATAAAGTTGAAATCTAGCATAAAGTCTAATTTTGCAACCGAACCTGGTCGAAAACTATTGCTTATTGTGCAAAACGTCTCTAAACTATCGTAAGAAAGAGATTTTGGTGCAGAAGATATTATTTTGATGTAAATCGAATTTGAGGTGATGTTATATAATTTTATAATTCAGGTTTTTATTTAGCTAAACGAGGCTAGATTTCTGATTTGAGACCAATAATATCCTAATATCTATTTTGACGTAGAACAACTTGTTTAGTAGACAAAGATCACGAAAACATTAATGCGTAACAAAATCAATTGTTTAATACCTAGAATGACAAATTACGTTGATTATAACTGCAAAAAAGATAGAAAAAGCCCACCGCTTTACTCAGGCTACGATAAATTGGGCAAGTCATATCACTAAGTTCACAAACGGCAAAGATTTCATTTGAAAGCCAATAAATTCTAATGTTTTGATTGATATCTAGAGCCTTATTTTGTAAACTTACCATAAATATAATTTTTAAAATAAAAGCA